AATTGAAGCTTACATAAAAAGGTGAACTATGAGGCAAGTGAAAATCACTAATCCTCATAGTTTGAGCCGACTTGTGACAATGAAACTGTCACACGTCGGCTCATTAGATCGGGAAGTGAGCGAACGCATACCATCGCTCGTTCACTTCTCGATCATCTCCCTGCAGAGAGCGGTGACTGTCACTCATGGCTCCCTGCAGGGATTCCCCCCCTCCCCGCTCCTCCAGCGCTGACAGGTGGAACGGACGGGGCGGGTACAGCTGGCTCTGCCTTTAGATAGGCTGAGCCAGCTGTCAGTCACCGCTCCCCGCAGGCATTCCCTCCCTCCCCGCTCCTCCAGAGCTGAGTGGAGGAACGGACGGAGGAGGGGGTGGGCACAGCTGGCTCTGCCTGTAGATAGGCAGGGCCAGCTGTCACTCACGCAGCTGGGTGAATCTCGACAGTATTGTTGGGATCCGTCCCGGCTGCGGCAGTCTCAGTATACCGCAAGCTGTAGCTCGCGATATACTAAGCTTTGGATCATGGGAGGGCGCTGGTATATGTCCTCCCATGACCCTTAATAGAACTATGGGGAAAAACACTTACCCCATAGTTCTTTTAAGTGATCCTGTTTTTTTTTTTACGTGTTCTACAACTCCAAAATACTGCTACTTACTTGTAGAAATAGGTTTAAAAATGACTTGCTTATTTCTGCAGAGGCTCCCAACATTATCACTTGTGAAAAATACAGACACCAAAGAAAGCTAGTGGTCTTTTTTGGTTGGGTATGCATCATATGAAGCAATAGAACAAACATTCTCTGCTGACCACAGACTACATAGGCATGCTAAACCTTAAATCTAAGGCTGGGCACACACCTTACAACCATCGCAAGACTTTTGGCTTGCGATGGTTGTAAGGTACTTAAAAAAAACGTACGATCTGCCTGTCTTGCATAGGCAGATCGTACTTGCGATGATCGCAAGCCACGCCCCCTGAGGGACGGGCTTCCGATGACCGAAATGCCGAACGGGCAGTGAGCTTGCGCACACCGGCCCGTACGTCTGTTATCGTACGGACATGCCACAAACCCGCCGAACATCGTACGATGCTCGGCGGGTTTTCGAACATGTCCGTAAGTTTAAAGTCGTGCGACCTTACAGTAGTAGAGGTTGCACGGCTTCCACACACCTTACGATAATCGTACGATCGCGGGATTTCCTGCGATTATCGTACGATAATCGTAAGGTGTGTGGGGACCCTAAGGGGGAGATTTATTAAAACTGGAGCAGACAGAATCTGGAGCAGTTGCCCATGGCCACCAATCAGCATCCCTCTTCAGTTTGTTCAGGTAAGATTTGAAAATGAGTCAAAAAAGCTGATTGGTTGCACTGCAAATCTGCTCCAGTTTTGATAAATAGAAATAAATACAAATAGTTGATATTTAATGGAAATGGGAGCTACCATTAAGCATTTTTTTCTACATAAGAACATAAAATGTATGGCTTGGTAAAATAAAGAAAAATCATTACATGTAATATATGCACATTTTCCCCTGTTATAGCCATTTAAAATTCTTCAAGTACAGAAAAAAAAACTTGTTGATCTGCCAGAAATCCAGTGTGCTCCTTTCTTTTTGAGCAGACAATACAGTACCTTTGTTGGACTGAAATCCCAACAAGACTTGTCAACCTTCCCTGCTGGAATATAGAAGTCCAACTATCCCTCATCCCCCTCTGTCTCTCTCCACATGCATACACCCAGGTTGATTTACCAAAGGCAAATGAGTTGTTCACTGTGCAAGGGAAACTGCAATTTGCAGAAGTTTCCTTTAGCTTAGAGAATGAGGTGAAATCTCACTTTACAAAAACTACCCAATCAAGCCCAATGCCCATGACTGGATGATGGAAGTCAGCAGAGCTTCGCCTCATTTACTAAACCTCAGGGAAACTTCACGTGAAAAGTGCAAATTCCCCTGCACAGTGAACAGCCTACTTGCCCTTAGTAAGGCCTGGTTCACACCTGGGCGTTTTACAGCGCGTTCCTACGCTCTGTAAAACGCTCAACATGTGAAAACAAATGATTGCCTATGGGCATGGTTCCCACCTGGGCGTTTTTCATGCGCGTAGGAACGCGCTGCAAAACGCCCTACACCCAAAGAAGTACAGGAGCTTCTTTGGGGCGTATTTGCCGCGCATATTAATTGGGATACAGCCAGGTAGCCCTCAGAAACGCGCGAATCACGGTAAAAACATGCGGCACGAAACGCGCGACAAACACCTCGGTGTGAACCCAGCCTAAATCAACCCCTCTGTTTCTCAGCGAAACAATGACGACATCTTAATATTCAAAAGCCTGCCCAGACAATTTGTGTAAGAAAAGGGATCTTGGGAGATATAGTTCTAAGGGAATGCCTATGTCTATAGGAACTGAACTCCCAGCAGATGGCCCTGCAAGAATTGTACAAGCCTGGGGATGATGTTACAGGGAGTAATACAATGCTGGCACATGGTCTAGAGGGGAAAAGGAGGTTTAGGGGTATATTTAGTAAACACCTGGAACTGAACCTTAATCTTTTCATTTCCAAAACACTGATATTAAAAGAGCTGAAAATTAGATCGGTTTGATATGGCACACAAGTCACTCATCAAAACTAATGAAGATGTAAGTAATGGCAGTACTAGAATGTTTTGTAGTTCACAGTCACTTGCTGGCTGACATTGGTAGCTCCAATTAATATTTTTGTCTATGCCTGAAATTATAATTTAAAGCACCTTTCCACCTTTGCAGAGATATTTTTAAAATACATATGCCAGCAATGTACACCGAGTGAACATGAAGCAGGCATATGCAGTTGATGTATATGAAAACAACAAAAAAAACTTACATTTTTTGTTAGCTTTCCTCTTTATATCCACATGGAAATTTCTGCCTCTGTGCTGTGCAAGCAATGTGAAAATACCCCACCAGCCCCCCTTCCCTGGACAGTGTATTGTGTGTAAAGGCAGAGCTAGTGTTTACTGATCATGTTATAATGGGTGACAGGAAGGGGGGCAGTTGATTACAGCCTAATTCCCATCTGACCCTGGTGTCTGACTAAACTTCCTGTGGAGAAAATTTTGATTTTTGTAGGTTACAGGCGTAATAAAACTTATTAAAAAAAAAAAAAAAAAAAAGGAAGAAGAAGAAAGCCTTAAATGTGAGTCATGAAAATGTGTACATGTATACATCATCCCTGCACCACTTCATTACCACTAATCACTTACAAAGGTGGAAATGGACTTTTAAGAACAGCTGGAAGATGGGTAAAGGAAACGTGCTGAGAGAAATACAGGGGCTTCCTTTTCTGACCCCCTTTTGAAAATGCTGCCTGCCTGACTGCCATGCTTATCCTCAGAGGTACTTTGTATGCAACAAATTAAATCAGAGCCAAGACTAAACTTCAGATATGTCTTTTATTGGCTTCAGTTCATTTTCATGACAGCTAGGAAGTAGTATTTTTCAGAATGGGAAGGCTGGAAATGGCAGCCTCCATGTTTCTCAAAGTAAATGATTCATTAGAAACAACCCTGAAGTGAATATCAAACAAGCTGTAAAAGAACATAGTCACCCTTCAGTTCTTATTCCATCCGAGTCCATTGATAAGATTAAGGCATATTTTATTATCCCATGTAACAAGGTTAAAGGTCACACATTATTCAAGTAAGAAATTCATAATAAAAATTAATATTTAAACAGTTACTTGAACAGAAATAACATTATGCAAACACTGCAATCTTAGTTTCCTTGCAAAAATAGTGTAAAGTACACAAAATATCATAAATCCAAAATACAAGGATATACCCCAGACACTGCATTCAGAATAATCTGCCGTTTCCTGGGTTGAAATTTAAATAGAAGGTGCCAACTCCTCCGATCACCTGGCATTGGCAACATTAAACTGTAGAAATGGGATCTCTAGATTTCAAATTGCTTTCCTGCCCTGTTTTCTCTTATATATAACATTTGCTTTAAAGGGAACAGGTCAGGATATAAATATGGGAAGCTGCCATTGCCAGTTTGCTTTTGAAGTTACCAATGTAGGGCTGTCATCCTCATCCTTCTGTCACTACTTGGTAAGTCATCGACCTGCAACAAGAATGTGCATATCAAGTGTCAGATGACCCATTATGCACATGTTGGATTTGAGTCGCTGACTCACTAAGATGTGAAGCGATAAAAGCTTCAGAGCATGTAAACCTCATAAAACAGGTCAACAATTCTGGCTTTCTATAATTCTATCCTGGCAGGTTCCATTCAAAAGATCAGCAGATGAGCATCTTGCATTCCCCCCCAAAACCAATACTCAACTGGAAAAGCCCTTGCCGAAACTGCTCAGGTTGGTTATATAAAGAGAAAGGGAAAAGTAATAATGAAGATTAATAGCAAGAAATGCAAAACTCCACCCATAAAAACAATAACAAAAACTAATGGTATGTACTATGAGTTAGTGTGAAACAGACTGAAGAAACAATTTTTAGTACCAGTTCGGTTTAGTCGAGCCATGTTCATCATTGCCTCCTGGTATGCCAACTCCACATCTTCCTGGGTCACCACCAATTTTATTTTATTCCATTTTTCTGGCTGGTGGTGTTAAAGAACAAAGTCACACATTACACAGTAAACAGCATTCATTGTGGCAATATATTGTGCATGCTAGTAATAACTGAATTCAGTTATTTCACTTGATGTTCCAGATACCAGTTCCAGTCCCAGATACAGAGGGGGGAATATATCAAAACTGGAGCCGACACAATCTGGAGCAGGTACCCATGGCAACCAATCAGCTAATCTCTTTAGTTTCTTCAGTTAAGATTTGAAAATGAAAAGATAAAAGCTGATTGGTTGCCATCCAGATGTTCTCTGCTCCAGATTTGAGAAATTCCCCTCAGAAAAATGTTTTACATTTGAAAAAAAAACCAGGGATAATTGTCCCCCTTTGCAAGTTAAATTGAACTTAAAGGAGAACTATGGCGAACGTGAAATACGCTCATCCCCTGACGTGCGACACTGCAGCTTTTACATGTCGGCTTTATTGATCGAGACCTGAGCGATCACAAACTACTCATCACTCCTGGTGATGATCTTCTCCCTGCAGAGAGCAGTGATTGTCACCGCTCTCCCCACAGGGATTCCCACTTCCCGTCTCCATTTCTCCAGCATGGACTGAAGGGACAGACATGGGGGGGGCACAGCTGTCAATCAGGCAGCAGGGTGGATTTCAACAATATTGTTCGAATCTTTTCCGGTCTCAGCGTGGCTCTGCGCTGTCAGCATATAGCAGCCAATAGCCAACTATATACTGAGTTTTGGGTCACAGGAGGGCATTAGTAAATGTCCTCCTGTGACACAACAGAGAACTTACTCCAACAAAGGTTGGGCCATATTCTCTTTTAACTAAAAATAGATGTGGGAGCGGAATGCGGGCGATTTTTTTTTTTTAGGCTCAAGGGCTTAAAATTCTTAGTTCTTATCTTACACATTTCATTTACATACAGAGACTACAACTTCTACCCTGATTTAGAAGGAAGTCCTGCCCCTCCTAAACTAAACCCAGCCCGCTAACATACAACAGTCCAGTGAAAGAGTCTGTATATAGCCATAAGAGCTAGTTCACACCATAACTTGTGTCTGCACAGCTGCAGTGCAATTTGCTGCGTTTATACCGTGATTTTGATGCAGGTTTTTTTTTTCCAAAAGGCAAATTAGACCATTATGTCACTTCCTTCTTCCAGTCCGAGCACTTCCAATTCTTTTTCTTTTCCATTTTGGATGCGTTTTTGATGCATTCTGTTGCAATCCAATGCAGCTAAAATGAGGCCAGCAGTATTTTTTCTGACTGCATCGGAAAGGACTGCACTGTTGTGAAAAGAGCACTAGAAATTCCATAGGAAAGCATTGTGATGCATTTTGGATGCAGCTGCCAAACTGAACGGACTGCATCACAACTGCATCTGGTGTGAACTAACACTTAATGTCACTTTAATTAAAAGTATTTTGCCTTTCTAATGTCCAATCAAGTGGTTTTAAAGTAGCTAGAAACATCTAATCTTAAGTTGCGACTCAAAAATAATTTTGCGCTCCCGGTGATACCCAACATGTGTGGCGCAATCCTCATTTGCGTAAACATGCAGATGTTGGGGGCAGCGGGTTGGTTTTAACGTTTTTAAGATTTTAATTAAATTTATAATTTTTTTATCACTTAACTTTATTGCTTTCAAACATGGGCTAACAAGCTCCTATGTGATAGCGTATGGAGGTGACAGGTTCTCTTTATGGAGACATCTGGGGTCTATTAGACCCTGATGTCTCCCCTGCACTTCAACACAGGTGATGAAGCATAGCATTGTGCTGGATTACCTGTGTAGCCCGGTTTGTGACAGCCGAGACAGGAAGCACTGTGAGCACAGCGCTCCCTATCTCACTGATCACACAGAGCAGATAGGGGATGGATGCTCCTTGTTCTGCTTCTGCTCTCCATTCTGAATAGACTTTTTATAAAGCAAACTGCTATCTGTTTTTTTTATTATTATTTTGACAGCGGGGCCACAGTCTGCAGTCAGAGAAAAAACAAACAAACACAAAAACAGACGGTATGGGAATGAACAGCTAGGTTGCTATTGGCTATTTCAATTTGCAATAGCAGGCTGGCTATTGCACCCGCCCACTGTGCTGTCTTTTAGCAGGGATGGACCTGAAGTCCTTTTTTTTCTTATGGACAGCTGCTCTGCTATCTGCCATCATTTCAGGGAGGTGCCCTCCCTGAAATGAGAAGGGCACCTCCCTGAAATGAGAAGGGCACCTCCCTGAAATGATTTTTCTCAGGTTGTCTGTATTCTATCTTTCATCTGGCAGGTTAACAGTAGTGACACCTTCCTATTCTAGTGTTTATCTGGCATATCAGTCTGTTGCCCTGCAATACATGCCTAGTGAGAAGGAGTCCAAAAGGTGAACAGGTGAACAACAACTTATAATGAACTAGATCTCCACAGCCTACCTCTCTTAGGTTCCACAGTCTCTGGGCACGCTGTACTCCCTATTTACTATCAATCTGCTGTGCTGTGCCAGATTGATATCTGCTGTACCGGGGAGGACATTGGAGGCCGAAAGCAGGCCTCAGCTGCCGATATTACTCTGCGGGCCAAAAGTGGTAAAATAGTCCCCTCTCTCCCTGGGTCCTATCACTTCAGCAGGGGGCCCCGGGGGTGGTGGTGGTGTGTGTGGGGCAGGGAGAGAGAGGACTGTTTCACAATACACAGGAGTCTCCTGCACACTGCCCCTCTCTGTCTCCCTGCTGAGTGGGGCAGGAGGTCTAGCTCTATGCAGTAAGGACACTGCGTCCCACTGAAACCCACTTTTGGGTTGCGACCCACCAGTTAAGAACCAAGGATCTAAACAACAACTCTAAAACAATGTATTAATGCCACCATTACAGTAACCATTTATCAAGTGAAGACTGAAGGCCGATATATAGCACACTTAGCATCTTGTTAAAACACAGTGTTGTACAGCTACCTCTTGAAGGACTTAGATATGATAAGATTATAATGGGACACCATTTGTTGTAAATTTACATACAGAATTTTACGTCGGACAATTCGTAATATTAAAAGAACCATAGAAAATTAAAGAAACAAAACATTGTAAAAAAATTATTTTACACAATTTTAGAACATTCACCAGTATACTTACAATATCCAGCCACTGATGAACTGCTACTGCAACTTGAGTCCCCAAAGGCTTTGTCAGTACAAGTACATCTCCTGGTACAGCACTGTCAGCACTGTACACCTGTCTTGGCATATTTTAGAACAGGAAATGAAGATCAGAAATACTGGTTCCTCAGGGAACAAGACATCAAATAGTGCATGAATTGGAATTACTAGAATGCCTTCTTTTATCGTGTGTTAGTTTGCCATCTGCTGGCAGACACTCTGCATGCTAAAGTGACTAGACAGTCAAACATTTTGAGCGCCTACTACTAAACAGTATATGCTTGATACACAGGTAACTATATTGGAATACTTCAATATCCAGTACAGAAAACAACAGTATAGCCAGGAAATGAAACATTATAATAAAGTAAAAATATAAAAAGTCTAATTATTTATAATATGAAATTTGCAATTCAAAATTTAAAGCAGAACTCTGGGTAAAACTTCTAAAAATCCTCACAGTGGGGCTGCCCTCGCACTGAATAGTTAAATGCTTGTTTTTGCCTAGGGTCAAACATTTTTGCAAGTTATACTTGCCAGGATCCACCTAGCTGGCTTGCTCTTAGACCGGTCCCTGGAGCCTATCTCCCCCTCCGCTGCAGTGGTCTACGGTCCCTGAGTTATCATGTTCTATAAACTGTGTACAGGACATGAGGATGCAGAGGGCCATGCAGCCAAGGAGGGAGCGCTGTCACAGACAACTGGCTCTGAGGATTGGACGAGTGTAACTTTTTTACCCTAGGCAAAAACGAGCCCTTAATGCTTGCAGTGCGGGGGTATCCCCGCTGCAAGGGTTAATAAAAATGTTACCTGGCATTGTTCTTTGACACAGCCAGTTACAAAGTACGGTGCTGCAAAATTTCCCAAAAATCGTATATGCTTTCTAAAATAATTTGTATGTTGGATTGTTCTCCAAGTTTACAAGGTGCTGCAACTTCATTTTTTCACCATCTTGAAGTGAAGTTCAACATACCTCATTACTTTAGTGCAGTGGTGTGTTTATATATCCCATGTCTTCCCTAATGTGTGGGGGAGACACTACAAACATTCTGTGCCATTATTTCTGGACACATTTCAGTCCCTCACGGAATGTAGACAAAAGTATCAGATAAGGTGCTAGTGTTATTAATAGAGGGCAGTAGGAGGTAGAACTCCCTTGTGTTACCACAGACACAAATGTTGGGTCACTTTTTGGCTCCTTCACACCCAGCTAAGTAGGTGCAATGTGTTACTGCATGTTTGTTAGCGTCAACTGGAGTAGAGAAACCAGTTCATTGGGTCGCGGAGGCAAGACAATGGACCATAAACCAGACCTGCACTTTCATGCTGCACACCACAATGCACGGCTTGCTGCAGCAAGAGTCTGTTGGCACCTACAGTACTTGTGCATTGGGGTGCTATTCTAAATGAATGGCACTGCAAAATGTCACACAGAGTACTAAGAGTTATGGTAAAATGCACATTACCACAAAGTGTAGGTGAAAAGCCAGCCTCGACCCTAAGGAAACCTATTAAAAATGTGTTAAAAGCCCAAAAAAAAAAAATAAAAAAAAATGTGGCTTTACAAAGTCAATCCATTGCAACCAACATTTCAGTTTACTCACATCAACTAAAGATAATATATGATTTGCTCATTAAGGGTTTATGCATCTTAACACAGCAACTTTACTGTTGGATCACACCCCACAATCAATAATGCATTGGCCCATAACCTATAATATGGATGAATGAAAAGGAAGAATCTAGATAGTTTAACAGTGGAGTGACACTAAACATTAGGTGTAGACTGTATAAAATTCAATCAACTTACATGATGAATTCATTAGGTTGACAAACAGTTGTAGCCACTCCTCCCAGAACTACCCAAGGATTTAGTACAGTCTGTCCTCCCGTAACAGACGTTCCTGCTTCCTCTGCTGCATCCTTGAAGCCCTGGATAATGAGAGGCATCACCTTGTCCCTTTCCTAGAGTAAAAATATTAGACACAAATTAAGAAAACCCAATACTGTCCCCACCAAAACCATGCATACTGACAAGCATAATAAGGTTTTATAGTAGGGATGCACCGATATAAATCGGCCGAAAATTGCACTTTTGGCATAATGCCGAAAGTGCCATTTTCCTGCCGATACATCGGCGCATCAATGCTTTCTTTCCTCCCCGCTGGGCGCTGCTCTGTGTCCCAGTGGTGACAGGAGAGAAACTTTGATAGCGGGCCGAGCGCTGAGAGGAGGCCGTCTCCTCCCACACCGCTCAGCCTCCTATCACAGTCCGGCAGAGCGGTGTGTGGGCGGAGACAGGCTGCGCTGTCACAGGAGGCTGATCGAGCGGTGTAGGGAGAAGAGCTCAGTGCGTGACAGCGTGTCAGAGAGGAGAGCGAGTGCAAACACTCAGCGATCAGTGATGGCTGAGTGTTTGTAAATGATTGAGGACATAGCATGTTGACTATATCCTCAATTATGAATGAATGGGGAGAAATCTACATCATCTCCTGTTCATTCATAGTTGTAGTTATAGTAAACATACCATGTCTTCATGTTATGAATGAACAGGAACACTCAGAGGACTCCTGTTCATTTATAACAGGGGATACAGAAAAAGAGATTGAGGACTGTGTGTCCTCAATCTCTTTTTCTATTTTAAAAAGGAAATATCAGGGGTCTGTTTAGACCCCTAATATTTCCCCAAAGCCCCTAAAAGTAAAGTAAAAAATACAAATATTTATTAACAAAATGAATTCATAAATAAAAATAAATATAAAAAAATTAAAGTTCATAAAAAAAATATTAAAAATTTGAAAAAATTAAAATAAAAAACAATTTTCGGTATCGGTTTCGGCCTGACAATTTTTTTAATTTTGGTTTTGAAAATTTCTACTATGGTGCACCTCTAGTTTATAGTTTTTATATGAATGTAAACTAAAACCAGCCTCACTGATTTTTTTGTTTTATGTCCACTAAAATGCACATTTAAAGAACGCCAGGAAATCGTTTCATTAACCCTTGCAATGGGGCTACCTTTGCGCCTAGGTGCTAAAATAACAAAGTTGTACTCACCTGAAGCTCAGAGCAGCCACCTGGCACAGCGTTCTCTCCAGCAGCATTGGAATCTTCCTCACTTCTACACACGGTGTAAAGACGTGATGATTTATCACTTCTCTACTTCTACACACGGTGTACAGACGTGACGAAGGGTTTTTTTCTCAGTTAGATCAGTCAGGGTCTGGAACTCTCTGCCACATGCTGTGATTTTTTTAAACCTAGACACAAACAAGCACTTATCCCTTCCAGTGTGGGGGCAACCCTACTGCCAGGGTTAATAAAAAAAAGTTCCTGAATCTCTCTCTGCCTCGGGTACGCCAATTGATGCCTTGAAGTGGATGTCCCTGAGGCAGAGGCCGATCATTCTGGCCTCGACCTTGTCTTGTTCTATGATGGTATGGGACTCATTCCGAAGGGGAGGTGGGTTGGTGTCGCCTCATATTCCTCTGGCTCCCGTCTTCCATAATCCTATTGTCTTTTTTTTTGTGGTTCTATGTTTAATGTTTAAGTAGATGTTGGGCTATCTGTTTGGGGACGGATCTACTCTTTTTGGACTCTTAAGCTGTTCTGTTTCTTTTAGTATCTTTTTCCTTTTCTTCTACTTTTTGTCTGTTTTTTCTTTTGTTAGGCTCACACACGTGAGCTGTTTAGTACATTTATGTTGGACGGAAAGTCCTCTATGTATATAGATATGGAGGAGGTCATACCAAATGTTTGCTTCAGACACAGGTGGATCCCTATGCCTGATATTCCTCTCAGATTGTTTTGATTTTTGTTGATGGGGGATAATTTGGCAAGAGTAGGTGGATAGATATGTTCTGTTTCACAGAACTATTATGCATTGTGTGTATGGTTTCTAGTGATCCCCTCTTACTACCTGACTATGCTAATGTGGAAGACTCAGACACAATTGTATGCTATACTGTTTGTGCATCATGTGCTATTTTATTGTTTTATTCTATCTTAAAAATGTAATCAAATACTTTGAAAGTTAAAAAACAATTCCTGGAGTTTTTCTCTAAAGTGACAGCAGCAGATAAACATTAACAGTACTTGCTCATGTTATAACTAGCAAATTTGTCTATATACATTAGGGATCATCCTAATGAAAGTAGACCAGTAAATTTGGGTAATAAGTGTTTTTCGCCACATTGCCAGCACCTGCAATTTTTAGCTTAGATATATTTGTTAATTTACTAAGCCAACACAGTTTTCTTTTTATTTAAACAGTGACATTAAACTCAGGAGTTTTATTTTAAAAATGCATTCAAGTACCTTGACTATTGACAAAAATGTATCTTATTTGTGTGTCACTCAGCTGTAGATCCTCAAATCATCTCTGAATTGGTGCGGACACTGTCCTTCCTTCTGGAGGGTGGCTACTTTTGTTCCCCATGGTCCCTGTGTGTGGTGTAAAGCAGCTACAGCACCAAGCTCACTCCCATGATGGAATACAATTTCAATACAAATTACACAGGGACCATGAAGAACAAAAGTACCCACCCTCCAGAAGGAAGGATAGTGTAGGCATGAATTTAGAGATGATTTGAGGATCTACAGCCGAATGATACACAAATAAGATACATTTTTGTTAATGGTTAAGGTATATAAATGCATGTTTAAGATTCAACTTCTGTTTTTCGTGTCATTATGAGGTAGCTCCTGATGCTCAGTGAGTCTTCACAGACTGGGCAAGGTAAAGTACAATTGTCAGCACACCAAACAGCTTGAGATTTTAAATATGCACATATTTCAAAATCATGTCACACAAATAGTATTCAGAAATCTGATATACAAGGCAGTACAAAAAGAAAAGATGCAGAACAAAATGAGAGAATAGTACACTCTCACTAGTAGTAAGCTATATAAAAAGGAGCAGAGATGCTTGGCAGTTAAACGTATAAAGTGAAGAGAGTACAGATCTAAAATATACAATACCAGATCACAATAAGGAGATATTTAAACAGTGGACACCTGGAAGCAGAGAGGTGGGGGAGCAAGTGACAAAGGGTATTAAACCTGAAATGTTGTCAAGTCATGTCCTACCAAAACATTAAGGGATCTTGACCCCCAAATAGTGTCCATTTATGTATGCATTACTATAGGACTACCAATAATCTATAGCTAGTCTCACAGTAACATTGGTTGACTTAAAAGACAGAAGGTAACAATGACTATATTGAACATGTTTTGCTTATTTAATAACATGTTCTCCAGTTTTATGTATGTAATAATTAACAGCTATGATTTTGTGAAGACAGCAGGAAAACCAAACTAGAAATGGTCTCTGGTGACTAGAGTTGGGAAATTTACACAAAATCGCACATGTTCAAAGATTGCGTGTTTGGTGTTTGCCATAACAAATTAAGTAAACGTAAGGTAAATGATTCATACGACATATATTACAAGTCATATAAATGTGCCCCAAGCAGGTATTAAAAAAAAAATCAAAAAGTTTAAAAATTAATAGCGGAGGTTATTTATTTATTTTTTACATAGAACGAGGTTAAAGAACTTCAGCTGATTGGATATCAGCCTCCAGCAATCCCTTGATTCTATATGTACTAAGTACTGGAAAAGTATGAGCTATTGCTGGGCTCATATGAATAGTTTGGCATTTCTACCATTTGTTTATAGAAATAGCAAGGTATTAGCATAGCAATAGCATGGGTTTCCTTACATTAGTTTTTTTTTTGTCAGGATTCCCTTCTTTGCCTGCAGCACTATGTTGGAAAAGGGGTGGTTGCTTACTGTTGCTAGGAGCCTTGCATATCCATGAAATGTCAAATGGTATAGCGGTATGTAACATTTGCACAAGTGTTTCTGCAAGAGTTTTAATACAGGAGAATCAAATATGATGTACAATAGTATTTGCTTCTATCATGTACTTACGCATTATATTACCTACCCGATCAGTCAGTTTATTACTGACGCCAAGCAGCATAAGCATGTTGTCACATTCTGTGACTCCCATTGCATAAAGGTCACTTAATACATTTGCACATGCTATCCGTCCCTGGAAAAGATGGACAAAGTATTTAGATGATCGTTTAAAGTGTATAAGTTATCTTGCATGTACAAGGGACTGATTGATCAATAATGAGAAGAGCAACATTGATACAGTTTAAGATCAGATTAAGGATCCCATCAGAATAGAAATATGAGAGGCGACGCTGCCTTTTAACCTCCATGGCGGTATTCCCGAGTGTGGCTCGGGATTCATTTTCAGTACCATAAGCGGTAACCCCCGAGCCACACTCGGGATTACAGCGTAGCATCTCTTACCTTGTCCACGATCCCTGCTGTGTCCTCCGGCCGCTGCCGGCATCCGTCCCTTGCGAGCGCCCGCGTCGCAGGGGGGCGGAACCGGCAGGAATTTTAAAAGTAAAAAAAAAAAAAACACACGAAAAAAAAAACAACAAAAAATGAAAAATAAAATAATCAGACCGCCAGGGAGGTTGAAGGTGTATGTACTGGGACCATAATATACACCCTTGCTTCACTATTTAGTGAATTGTTGACCAAGAAGATATAGGCCCCTTTCACACGGGCTGATTGCATGGGTACCCTCCTGATCAGCACAGTATGAATCCGATGTCACTGCTGTGACATTCTTATCCATCCATCTCAAACTGAAGTGACTGGACCCCATGTCCATGGGGAATCGGATGTAAATGGACATGCGGCAGTTTAGATCAGATTACCCCAGATCCGGCACCATCAGGTCTGTCGAAGCGTAACACTTCCGTTTGTTTTTCCTGACCTGGCCGGAGTTGGGGTTAACCGGCTTTAAACGGACCTAGCTGCCTACAGACTAACATTGGGCACCTGATCAGGTCCGCCTGAACACTGACTAGTTTAATAAGTACTTGAAACGTGGGGCTTCCCATGAAACCAGGGCAGTCATGCCTCAGTAACCAGGTAAAAACAAGGTCAAAACTTGTGGCTACTCACGGTAATAGTAGGCATTCTTATCTGTGTGCTCTGGCAGTTCTTTTACTTACGAGACCCTGTCACCAGACCATTCATTTCAACAACAATCTTCCTATAAGGAAGATTAATGCATTTTAGGCATGTCGTTTACGCATCAAAAACCCGGAGACTGTGCATGGGCGCAGCCATATTGGATGTGATTTCTGCAGACTCAGAGCTGACACTCAAGTGACACTATGTAGTATTCCCCTTCGCTCCGCTCTCAGATGCTACATAAAAGGTTATATAGGTAGGTGAAGAAAGGGGTTGAGGAACTAGGCCACACAGGCAGTAAATGGACACTCCCAGAAGAGAAGCGTGCTATGACATGCAAGGAGCGGGGCTGTGCTTGGGAATGGACTCTTCTGAACTAGTGAAACTTGTTAGCAATTTCAGAGGTACGCTACAAATTAATGAACATTTTTTGAAAATGCTACAAATAAGCACTTTACTAGATTTGTCTGTGCTTTTACCTGCAAATCTTCAGATTAATATATGCCATCACAATTCACACAGAGCTTCAAAGAAAAAACAGATGTCCCTCAGGAATCAGGATTGATGGCATGTATATTCATATACACTGATCTATTTAACCATTGTGCAACCTCATTTATTATTCCAGTAGTTACTAGAAGACTTAAAACTGACAACGGGCAGGTAAGTATGGGCAGTTGTAAAAATATAATGAACTAGGGCTCTTTTTAGATCACAGCCCCAAGGAGATTAAACTTCTGGAAGTAGATAGATTTTAGCCTTGCAAATTAACAAAGGCATTATCAGAGGCCAGAGGCCTTTACTGAAATGTACAGTTCATGACAGTGCCAGCTGTTTAAAATAATAATAAAACTGCAGCAAAGCAACAATGTACTGGCTAAACACCACTCCACAATATCAAAATATTTAATTCATACTTTTCTGTGTAACAAGCAGAATATATAGTGAATTAACATGTTTTATCTACTAAGGTCAGAACTAAAAAACCAATACGACTAAAATGCTAACTTTTATAGTTTCTCATTACACCCGGCTGAAAACAGCCTGAGCTCAGAGACTTAATAAGCTTAAAGGAGAACTATGAGGCGAGTGCTTTTCACTCACCTCATAGTTCTAGCCGACCTGTGACAATGAGACTGTCACAGGTCGGCTCAGTAGATCGGGAGGTGAGCGAACACATACCGGGGTTCGCTCACCTCTCGATCCTGTCACGGCTCTCTGCCGTGACAGGGGAGGGGCTGGATTCCCCCCTCCCCGCTCTGATCCGCCAGCGCTGACTGGCGGAACGGACGGGGGAGGGGGCGGGTACAGCTGCCTCTAGATAGGCAGAGCCATCTGTCAGTCACGCAGCTGGGCGGATCCCGGAACAATTGTCGGGATCCGCTGCAGCGTCTCAGTATACCGCGAGCAGCAGCTCGCGGTATACTGCCGCGTCTCCGTAGACCTCGAGACACAGCAGCTCGCGGTATACTGAGCCTAGGGTGACGGGAGGACGCTAGTTTGTGTCCTCCCGTTACCCTGAGAACTATGGGGAAAAGCCTCAACCCCATAGTTCTCCTTTAAGCTGATATTTATTACACATACACATGAATGAGCCAGAGCATACTTCTCCCCTTTACTCCATAGGTAAGAGAAAGATTGTGTCGAAAGGAAACCACTTCTCCTTTAGAAAATCTATAGTGCCCTGGGGCTCCTTGATCATGTAATAAAGTGTACGTAAACCCAAACAATAAACTTCTCCCTTTTGGTCTGTTACATATTCCATGAAACGCATTTTGTTATATATGATTGATAAGTGCAAGAAAACACCTGTTGATCAGGTTAGAAATTCAGAGCTGTCATATGTCCAGGGCGCACTTCTTATGTTATTTAAAGAAGAGTAATTAGCCCTCCCAATCCTTATCTTGGGACTACAGAATGATTAGTGTTTATGCTGAGAACATGGGAGAGTATGTGGGTCTGAGTTGTTTAGCACTCAATCCAAAAAAGTTTTTTTTCGTGTTGTCAGCCTACAACAGGACTTAGTAGATCAATGTGTATTTTTCTGTAATTGTAGGGTTTATGGATAAAACATAGGAAAATGTGCATCTATTGCAAAGATGTACTGCCCATTTTATTTTCCCTTGATATACACATTAAGGATCTTTTTATAAAGCAGTGAATCTGCCATTCACCAAACATTTACTGCAGGTGAATTTTTCTGGTGCAAGGGTTTTATTTAAAAATGACAGTGATTGATTCACCATTAGCGAATGTTTGGTGAAAGTTCCATTTACTGCTTTAAAAATATGCACCTTTGTATTTATTTGTAAGAAAGATTTGATTGTATAAAGATTGTATAAATTAGTTAAATCATTAGTTAAAAAAAAATCCAGAACCATTATAACTGTTCTTTAGAATACATATAGAAAAAGGCTGAAGCGATTACGTGGGTAGCTTCATCAAGACATACACATCTAGGGTACCCAAAGACAAAAACATAGGCAGACACCTGCAACGGTGCAAAGAAGCATTATGAGATTTGTCTCAGGTCATCTTGGTTATACCAAAAGCTAAGAAATATTTTACAGCCATAATATTGTGCAAAGATTTCTATTCGCTCATGAAAAGTTAAATACAATGAACAATTATTTTCACTCACCATCATATAAGGATCATCTACAATGGGATAAATGTAATCTGTAGTTTGAACCAAAGAAAGGCCACCATGTCTTAAAGGAATGACGCATGTGTCCATGCCAATACCTGCAAGGAAGGAAAATAAATTAAATTACCATTAAATATAATTTTATCTATTATCTTAAACTTAAAAAAACCAAAGCACAAGCAGACAAGAGTAGCCAATGATTGTACAAGTTGTAAAATAATTGGAAACCGTTTAAAAACAGAACTACAGCCAAACATGAAAGAATGAATAGCCCTCTTACAATAATAACGAGAAAAAAAAAAAAAAGGGGAAAGAAAAATCACTAATCTATACTTGCCTTTAAAAAGCGCTTTCCAGGCAGGTATTATTTTCTGCTGAGGAAGAGTTAAGCTGGCCATACATGGCTCAAATCTCAACTAATCCCTGCTAAATCTGCCAAAATTCAAGCTCTGACTGGCCCCATCAAACTCCACAAAACTCAACTAAAAAGTGGAAGGAGCCAGGTGGGCTGAACAGTGACTGAAGCCAATCAGATGCCGTCAATGGCCATGTATTCAGGCAGCTGTGGGTGTTGGCAGCTGTCCTAATACAATAGCTGGCAGGCGAGATCCTCCAACCACGCTGTTTAAGGTGGTTGATTGGTTTCTCTCATTCAGGCCAAGAGGATGAACGAGGACAATCTAAACATGTATGGCATTGCCTAAGAACATCAGTCAAATTTGTAACTGCTGTCTGCGTCACCATTTGGGAAACCTCTCTTCAAAAGCATTGAAGGAAGATCTACCTACACAACAATAAATAAGGGAAGGGATAAAACATCCGTTCAGGATCTAATTACTATCTTTGTCCACATTAGCAAGATTTCCTATAAATTCTTAGTCTGATATCTTTCACTAGCACAGGAAGAGAAATATCTTCAGGAACATAGACAGTATTTAGAACCAGACAGAAGAAGAAGAAGTCCTAACCCTTTTCTGCTCTAGCCAAAAAGAAGAAGAAAAAAAAAAAGGGAGATTTGTCTGGAGCTGGGCTACATCTTTTCAAATTCTTGTTTTAGTATTGATGCAAATGCATACAGTGCCCCCTGCATATCGATTGTGGCTTACTGTTCCTTTTTTTGCAAAGCCCATCAGTATCACATTGGTGATGCCCACTAGATGGAGCCGAGGAGCATAAGAAATTCCTATAAGGTAGTGCTACAATTAAGCTTGTAGTGTACCTACCTTTCTTTCTGAGCATTGTGTGAATAGCCTGAACCTCAAGGTACACCCTCAGCCACTGGGCTCCATGTAAGGCACTTATAAGACTCTAGTCTGGTAACAGATAGCCACAGAGCGCTTTCTAGTTACAGAGATTATATTGGCATCGCATCAGTGCTTGCCCCATGTCTGAAGACTCACGACTTGAGTAGGTTGATTAGGCTTTCCGCTAGTTTTAAGAGGTTAATGTTGTGGGACTGTGTGATGTCATCAACTGGGTGGCGTGATGCATGTGTTCTCTTTCCTGTTACGCAGCATTGCGTCACTGCTGCTCCTCCTGCTTAAAAAGTCATATGAAACCTCGATCTTATATCCCTTCCTACTGTCCGACTGGTCACCTCCAGCCACCCAACTCACATCTGCCATCAGCTTTGTCAGTGCCCAAGGCTTGCCTTGTATGCTGGGCCTTAAGTTGCCCCCATCACATGTGCGGTTGCAACATGTCTGACTGGCTACAAATTTTTTTTCAGTCCTGCTGTGCTGGGTGCCCCAGCTCATACCCTACTAAGGGCTCTGTATCTGATCTCCATGTCCTTTGGATCCCCCGAGCCTGCAGCTGCTGAGGCTCTCTCTCTCTCTCTCTGCATCGCTACAGTCCTAAATGGATGAGCTTGCCTCCATGGAGTCTTCTGCTATTACTCTCAATTTTAAAGAGGCCATTTTGGTTCTTATTGAAGAGGACATTGTTAAAAGGGTGGGCTTTTCCCACTGTGGATCCGACACTGTCCTGCTTCAAAGTGACCAACATAAATCAGTGAAAGATACTCCTTTCTTTAAGTATCCAACTGATAAACAGTTGGAAGCACTCACTGTTCTCACTGGCAAGTCCTGCTCTTCATCCCACCTTAGCAGTGACCTTGTTTTGCCAAACCCTGGCTTATTGGTCAAAGCACCTTAAAAACAGGATCTTGACACTAAGGTTGATCCCTTGAGCATTAAATGTTTGGGGCAAATGTTTGAATTTTTAGCATCCAAGTCTTGGACTGTGTAACCCCTTTCAAAAACACGTCTGATCCACATGGACTTTAAGGGACGTCTCTTCTGATGTACTCTGGATCATGCCATAAAGGATCCTATAGTGGCAAGAGCACCCATTTTCCTCAGCTGAAGAAGTCTAATGCACAGGCTTCTAAGGATACTCCCTTGCCATCTGTTACGAAGAGTCCTTTTTATTTCTCCACTTCTGCACCATTCATGTTTAGACCCCCAAAGTTTGGCTCCTAGTCCACCCACACGATCTGGGGGCCTTAAAGTCCGATAAATCCTGAGACAAGCCTGCCGCTATGTTAGGTGCACCAGCACTTTCCAGAATAGGTGTATGTTTGTTAACCTTTAGGGACATTTGGATGGCTTGCATCTGTGATTCTTAGGTGAAAGTGGTTCTAAAGAACTGGAGTTTTGCTCATTGTCCCCTCCACAGCTTCTTACCTCCAACCCTTCTGTGGCATCGCACATATTAGTGGATCTCCAATGAGCCCTCTCGGGTTTTGTAGATCAAGGTGTTATTTTCCTGGTTCCTGTGGGAGAATGGTTTCAGGGGTTTTACTTGAACCTGTCTTAGTTTCAGCGCTAATGGGGCCTCAGCGATCCTTCAACCATAATGGATAATCTCATTTTAGAACGCTGCTCCTCAAAAGGGATTGGGAATACCCATTATACATGCAGGAAAAGAACACATAACGTGAGCGCGACCTCTAAGTGAAATAAAGTTTATTCAATATAAATAAAAACAAAGCATATGTACTCACAAAAGTATGATGCAGAGCGTCTTGAATGATCATGGATGGTTGCTTCCCCACCACCAGAAAGACAGTCCACTCCCTGGTATAGCAGACGGTAGCCGCCGGTCTGAATAGCCACAGAACCGACCGCTGTGTGCTTGGGCTAACGCATTTAAAGGGCACTCCCCCTTCAGAGCCACAGCCCCGTTCTTCAGGGTGTGGCTCTGTGGGAGTAGTACAACCTGTCCTTCTCTGGGACTGCACCAGCATTTGGCTCTCAGCAAGATTAGGTTTCTGCCCTAATCATAGGGAGTTTCCTATGTAGCTCCCCCTGTTCTTTCCACTGTGATTCCGAAGGATCAGAATTTGTTTCTCTCTTCAATTTGGACCTAATTATTACATCAGCGATGTGAGCATCTTGAACTGGTGGTCTTATCACTCAAAAAACCTTTCCTGGGTTTGCATAGGACAAGGTGGTTAAAGCACAGGGTTTCCTTCTTAGCCAAAGATGTTTCCGTTTTTCACCTCAACCAGGACACTTTTTCTGTCGTGCCTGTGTGACTCCCTGTTCACCATAAGAAAATTTCCTTTCACTGCCTGGATATTGTTTGGGCTGTGAGATTCTATTTCTCAGCCTCTGCTTCTTTCAGAAAGACTTCACTTTTTGTCCTTTTCAGATAGTCCCTGTAAGGGTGGCCCAGCATTCCATTCCATCTTTTGGTGGTTCAGGCATACCATCAACCACCCTTTCCTGTCAAGGCACACTCTACTAGATCTGTGAGTGGTTCTGGGTTTTACCACCAAGCAACTATTTGCAACTATTTCCCAGAGCTGGTTTTCTGTTCACTTGTTCTTTAAATTCTACTAGGTGGAAGTTCAGACTTCATCCAGTGCCACCATCAGACATAAGGTCCTTCAGATGGTTTTATGAGCTGCAGGCGGTCCCCAGTTTGCTGTTTTGTTGGGCCTTTTGATGTTTATTTGCTATACTGCCCTTCCCTTAGTTGTAGTACTCACCCTAAAATCCTTTTCTTAGAGTTCATTAAGGGACAAAGGTCCCACCCCTTTGTGTTTATGATCATGCTTTCGGTACTGCTTGCTACAAGAAAACTGAGGAATGCTGGTAGTAGAAGGGGTTCTCCTGGGCTGGCCTACAAAAGGATTTTACAACAAGTACAAAAATCCTATTTTAGTATGAACAGGTTCTCTAATCCAAATAAAAATGCTTGAAGTTCTTGGCATGAAGCCACACATATCCCATTTCTTTGTCAGATTGCTTTTACAGGTAATCTTCTCTATGAGGTATTTGCACAGTTATACAAATACAGCAAAAGGTCTGGCCTGCACCAAGCTCCTGTATAATATAGGCTGGTGTCTTCCTTATGAAACACAGCAAAAGTGAAGGAAGCCATTGGTACATAATATGTAACAAGAAGAGTCAGAGACAATTCTAGTGCTTTTCTGTGCAAGTAGAGGGTATAGTCTGCTTTGCACAGACTCTCAATAGCTACAATGGGAAGCATGTGATGTGTACTACAATACTCCAATTCGTGGTGTAGACACAAATGCCTAAATTACTGATGTGTTCACTGAAACGTTAAGTATATTTCAACTCAATAAACACAAATGTAATATACTGCAGCTTACCAGTCCTTGTGTGGCGGCTGCATTAAAAAAGTACAGAAAAATACCGGTTGATCCTGCCAAAAATCTTAAGCAATGTGATCAGCTTTCCCAGCTGTACTCTGTAAACTACAAAATACCTCCAAAGTTATGAGGCTTTTGAAGGCTAATTCAGGAGAACAGCCTAGAGTTAAAAACGCAGCTTCTCCATATATACAGTACTGTATAGTGAATGAGTGTTGAATAGGAAGTTGTTTTTTTTTAACACTGATCATTTGTAATAAAAAAGGGGCATACTCACGGTTTTACCTATCAAAAGATTTGCAATACTGCTCAATCAGTCATTTGATCCAGACAATCCTGCCAGATAGCAAAGCCATCTCCTGCACTCCCAGATTGTAGCTGAGCATCACAGCCTTGTCTAGGACCCACCATAAATGAATAGGAAAATTAGTGTAATGATATCACTTTAAAGAGGCACTAGCCATATAATAAAAGCCCTACCTCGACTCTCTTATACTCGCCTTTCCTGCACTCCATTGCCACTCCTTCCTCACAAAGCCATCATTGAAATCAGGAGTGCTGGCGTCCCTGGGGAGCAATGATTTCACTCCCTTGGTCATGTAGCAGTGCTTGGGCCTATTGACGGACTGCTAGGCCCAAGTGATTAGTGCGGGGAAGCGTGCATGTTAGCACAATGCCATGGTGTAAACAGGATCTAAAAAAGTTACATTTTCACTTTCAATCTTATTTAATGAAAAGCGTAGTGGTCAGGAGTGGCTGTACTTACTTTCTATTGAAGGGGCATTGGAGATCTTACATGATGACAAAAAAGAAGGTTAAAGAATAACTCCAGGATTTTGAAATCCCTGCGGTAGCGACAGCTCACCTCTCTCCCCCTCCACTCTAGCTGTAGTATGTCCCTCAGTGTCTACACGTTAAACAGACCTGTATTGACGTGATAAACGTCACAGGTCCTTAGGCCGCCGAAGCCTGGGTGAGAGGAGGCTGTGGGACCAGTGTAGCAGACAAGTGGTACCAAGGATTGCGTGAATATTTCTTCTTTAATTTCGCCCCCTAGACAAAACAAGCACTTAACCCTTGTAGTGCCGGGGTGGCCCCACTGCGGAGGTTAATTTTTTAAAATGCTGGAGTTCCGCTTTAAAGAAAGATTAGAAAAGTAGACCAGAATTTTCTCCTCATGTGCACATTATATCTAATTACAGAAGAACAATCATCCTGATCTTTTAACAGGACAATAGCAAAGATCATGTGTCAAAAACCTCTTCAATATACCCCGTGCATGAACAACATTATACACAATAACAGTGGACCCCTTGGTAACATTTGCTAAGTTGTGGTGACCCCCAACGGTAAAATTTAGGAATGACGTGGCTGCTGCAGCAGCGACATCTGGTGGCGTGGCGGGAGAACTGACACTGCTGCACTAGGAGAGGGCTGAGGAGGACTCTCACCTAGCACAGCAGAAATCACACAGCGACCCACAGGTTGAGAACCACTGCTTAAAGGAGACAACGAATCCCAGAGGAATACAACAAATCACAGCAATAGTCCATTATACTATAATGTTCTATTGCTGGGAGTTGTAGTCCTCTATAGATGCTGGTATTCTGCAGTGTGCTGTATAATGATTATACGGCGCAACGCAGAATAACGCCAGCTACAGAGGAATACAGCAACTCGCAGCAATAGTACATTATACTATAATGTGCTATTGTTGGGATTTGTAGTCCTCTGAAGCTGGTGTTATTCTCCATTGTGCCATATAATTTATTATTGCTAGGATTTGTAGTCCTCTATAGCTGGTGGTATTCTGCAGTGTGCTGTATAATGATTATATGGCGCAATGGAGAATAACACCAGCTACAGAGGAATACAGCAAATCCCAGCAATAGTACATTATACTATAATGTGCTATTGCTGCTGCAGTGTGCTGTATAATGATTATACGGCGCAATGCAGAATACCACCAGCTATATAGGAATACAACAAATGCCAGCAATAGTACATTATACATACAGTGTAGGGATGCACCGATACCAATACTAGTATCCGTATCGGTGCCGATACGAGTATTTGGGCGAGTATGAGTACTCGCCCAAATGCTCCGATACCTTTCCCGATACTAGAACTTCCAGTCAGAGGAAGATTTCCTCTGACTGCCAGTGCCGCGATGAAAGATGGAGCCGGAAAGCTGGCTCCATGATGTTTGGCTGGCTTGATGCGGATTGGCCGGGAAGCCGGCTTCCCAGCCAGTGTCGAGCCGGGCCAACAAATCTGATAATATAGCGACACGACCCCCCACCCTGCAGGTACCCAATTCCCCTCACATAGATCCTTAGCATTCAGTTCCTCTGCCAGATCTGCCGTCTCCTGTGTGCACACTGCACAACGCTCACGTAATCAGCGTTCAGCCTGCTACTGCGCATGCACAGGATTTCTGAATGAGAGCGCTGGGTAGTCTGCGCATGCACAGTAGCAGGCTGAGCGCCGATCACGTGGGCGCTGTACATAGGAGACGTGGGGAGATCTTGGAGAGCGGTGTCTGCCCACTTAGAGAACGCTGGCTGAGGGACTGGAACGTTAATGAATGCGATACGGATCTATGTGAGGGGAATTAGGTGCCTGGTCGTGTCACCATATTGTCAGATCTGTTTGGCCGGCCTTGATGCCGATTGGCTGTGAAGCCGGCTTCCGGCCAATCAACATCCAGCCGGCCAAACAGAATGGAGTCGGCTTCCCGGGCAATCAAGAAGCCTTCCTGGCTTCCTGATTGCCCGGGAAGACGGCTCTATGCTACCGGAAGTGCCGGTATCGGTACCGACGAGTACCGAAATATAAGTATCGGTACTCATACTCGATACCGAAAAACCAGTATCGGTGCATCCCTAATACAGTGTATAATGTATTGCTGGGATTTGTAGTCCTCTATAGCTGATGGTACAGCACAATGTACCAGCAGCTAGAGAGGACTACAAATCCCACTACCCCAGCAATACATTAATGCAGCACCATGTGGGGGGGAATGAAGACTTACCTGAGCAGATATGTACGCCGTCAGAAAAAAAAAAAAAAAAAAAAAAAACACACACCATAGGAATGCATAGCTAGATTCCTATTGGCTATTTCACTTTGCAATAGCCAATAGCAAACTAGCTATTGCACTCGCCCTCTGCTGCTGTCAGTCATTAGAACTGGACCTGATGGAGAATTTCAGGTCCCCCTCTGCTGATTGGCAGCAGCAGAGGGTGGGCGCAATAGCTAGTTTGCTATTGCAAAGTGAAATAGCCAATAAATAGGAATCTAGGTTTATTTTATTTTTTTTCTGACTGATGACGGCCTGCGGCCCAGATGTCAGAAAAAAAAACCAGCAGAGAAAGGTTTGCTGTGCTCTAACTAGCTAGAGCTTTCCGGGAGAAAGTTTTTTTTTTTTCCTCCGATTTACGGCCACCTGCGGCCCGATGTAAAAAAAAAAACAAAAAACAGCGGAGAAAGTTTTGCTGTGCTCGATCGAGCAGGCGACCCCCGGCAAATAGTCATTCGACCCCCGACGGGGTCGCGACCCACACGTTGAGAACCGCTGCACAGTAATAATAATGCCAATTCTTAATGCTCGCCTTAAGGCCACTCCTCGTACCTCTATTTCCACTGTGATTGCAAGCTCATTCGGTAAACTCACATACCTCAATTAAACTTAATTTGGCTTCCTCCCTGAGCCATATTTCACTCAGAAATTAGATATATAGATTGCAGGCAGACAAGGTTGATCACTGGATTGATAAAGTTTGATTGTGGTATGGGAGTACGACACATTGACTTTTGTATCTAGTAATCAGAGAGAATTTCCCTCATTTTGGAAAGAAGTCCTCTCACTTCCTGTTCTGTCATTGGGACAAGAAGTGAATGAAAATATGTAATGTGATGTAATAAAAAGAGATGTAATAAATAGAGATGCAAAATGCAATTAACAACGCAACTGAATTCCTACTTTTTCAGAACTGAAATCAAAAGGTATATTCTGAAGACCTATGTAGATTATTGATGTGCCTAGAGATACCATCACTATACAGGCAGTCCCCGAGTTACATACATCCGACTTACATACAACTCCTACTTACAAACGGAGGCTATTACTGTACAGCGGAGTAGTTGTAATGCTACTGCACTCATGCCGACGAGGATTGTCCGCCTTTTTGGGTCCGGTTCGTAGTACTGAACGTAAAATTACAGGAAGTTGGCTCTTGTTAAAAATGTAGACGAGGGGTGCCCACCTCTTCTTCCGGGTCACTGTGAGGTTTTTACTGCTGTCTGTATCCTCATTAGAAATATTTAATCTCACTTCCTGTCCTTGAGACAACAAGAAATTCACTCCTGTAACAGTTATCATGGGAAAAGGGTGTCTGCACTGAAGCTTCATCACCAATCCTTGTTCCCACGACAACCCAACATTTTCAAAATCCAAATGTCACAGGGACAGAAAGTTAGGTGAAATCTTCTGAACAGGGGCACACACAGAAAAACAAACTTTAAAAGGGGGTTTACTCTTCCCTATGCTATGCAAAACAAAAACATTTTTTTGGGCTGGAGTTACACTTAAAAAAGTACCTGTTCCAACTTACAGACAAATTCAACTTAAGAACAAACCTACAGGCCCCATCTTGTTCGTAACCCGGGGACTGCCTGTACCTGTAAATTCTGGTGCTTTGCTACAAAATCTGCTTTTAGTGACCTACTTGAAAAAACATTTATTTAAAATGCAGTTGCGGACAGTATAAAAAGGTACCACAGTTCTTTATTTTCTGTTTGAGCATAGATGTTTTTGACGCATCCAGGTCTCTTAAAGTAAACTTGTCGCTATTTACTTGATACTGACAGGCTCTGTTACTACAATACAGAAACCAAATGGTGCCTGCACATACCTTTTACATGCATCCTGCTGCAGTTTTGGTGTTCCAAATCATTATTAACTGCAAGCTTTGTAAATCCTTGGTAATACAAAGTGCTGGCCCTACCCCTTCCACATGTTTCTATGCTCTAGTAAGGCCAATAAGAGTAAAGGAGAGGTGACGGGACCACCAATGTGGTTATTATCCAAGTCCCACCAGTGCTCTGTTACACAGACACCATTAGGTCATGTACTTCATGGCTATGTGAAAAACTGCCCTTGCAGACAATCCTACAGCTCTGTGTTAAAAGTGCCATGTACAGTATAGTATGTGTCTGCAAGTCATATATACGGCAGTTAATCTTACAACATCTTTCCACTTACCCAGCCTTGGCATAACAGCCCCAAGAAATTGCTCTTCATCTTGAAAGTGATTTTCCTGCAAAGATTCTAGCAATTTCTGCAATACATCTTGAGGAACTTTGCAACCAGTGCCTTTAAGCTCTGCAAAGCGAGTCAGGCGGAAGCTCTTGTCAAGCTCATAACTTTCAGGATTGAAAGATTCCCGGACAGACATGTTTCTCAGATAGATTAATTCTTCAGTTTGTGTGTTACTTAATCAACAATCCTTTTGGCTCCTTTGTGGATGAACCTAGAGAGTAAGATAAAACTTATTATAACAAAGAAAAAAAGAGATCAGCAGATAACAGCTTTTAGATAATGACCAGCAAAGGCGCGCCCATTTGTTAAAGCTCATCTCCAGGCAGTTTCAGCGTAGATATAGGTAATTCTTTTCTACCTTTTTATTCTGTGTCCTTGGATTAAATATTTTCTTCTGCATTGTTGAGTTATCCTCTCCCACCCTTCACAGCATGATTTATGTAGCACAGCGTTTGTAGGGGGTCACCACACAATACACTGCATCTTATAATCACCTCAGAGCTTCTGTTAGTGGCCAGGATGCAGGTAGATCTAAACATCCCAACCAGCACCCTTTATTTTCCCAGACTTCTCTTTCTGGTATGGAGTTCCTTCCTGTGCGTCACTTCCCTGACCCTCCAAATACTGGTCCTGGTCACACTAATCTCTGCAACATGAGTGTGGGGTGAGTTTTCAAGACAACTATGGGGCTACACAAACACTTTCCCAGTAAATAGGAAGATTCTCAGCTATATATTTTCTCTTTCTTCATACACATCACCTAATTTGTACATAACTACAGTAAATCACAAGGGCCATGAGTCAGGAAATTATGGTTTTTAATCAGAGGCTTCAAATACTGGTATTTTTTCATAAATTCTGTTTAACTGTGTTGTGTGTGTCAATAGTCTTATGTCCAGGGAATTACACTTTAAATTAGGAAAAGATGACACTTTGTGTATGAATGTTTAATAATTTGGCAGTCTCAGGCAGTAGATGGCATGTTGGAGTTTACAAACTTTCACCAGGGATTTACGTCCATGCTGTAAGTTGGCGGTGTTGTTCAATTTTCTTTTGCTGAGCTTTAGTCACAACACACATACATAACTTAATGGGTCAGAGTAGGGGCCTAGTGCCTTCCCTCTGACAGTTAGAACTCCTATGGATTTCACAGTGTTGGTTAGAATGAATGCCCAGCTTACTCTGCACCCTTTCACACCTAGGCGATTGAGCTGGTGAGCCGCTTTCGGGCGGTTGTCACGTGTTTTCGTTTGTGCGACTGTTCTTTGAAAACCGCACAGTTATCAATGCATAGATACAGTACGTCTATGGGACCCAAACCATGCGACAATCCCCCAAAAATAGATCCTGCACCTTTTTGCGCGGCAAAAATGTGAACAGTCTCCATTGACATCAATGCAAATCTGTGTTTTGCGCGATATCGCGCCACTCGGTCCGCACGATTGTTCGTCTGGGTGTGAACCTAGCCTAAAGGTCACAGATGTGTGTGTGTGTATTATATAATATTACATACACACACTCCAATACCAAAAAGTGGGGAAACGAAGAGCTTTAAATGGTGCTGACATCTTAAATGGTCAGCTACATGCCATTGAGGATCCATTCCCTCTGCAATGCCTGAAAGCTAAGCAGTTCTAAATAGACAGGCCTGACCGTGTCAGGAACAGCCAGTCATTCAGTCACAGCAGAAGGCAATGAGACCTTCTGCATATTATACCTGCTACCAGCTCTCTTTCCTTTGAAAGTGACAGACACTTAAAAAGTGAGCAGAGTTAATATAATGTTTTAATAGACTGTTGTATGAGGAGAACGGACTAAAACTGAGTGAATTGTTTATGAAACAGATGATACAGCTGTTTGAATAAAAATGATTTCAAACTCCTTTTAGACACAGGGAATGTATATTAATATATGGTGTGACCCAGCAGTTGCGGCACGGTCCCATAGATTGCAATGGTTGTGTTTGCAAAGAGGCACTGCCTTTCAAACGTGACATGCTGCTTAAAATTTACCATGGCGTGTATACCACCCTGAGTGGCTGCTATTTTAGCTTTAGATGGGCAGTCGAGAGGACACACACACAACTTGAATGTCAGCTGACACCTACTGAACTGGCCAAAATTCGAGTGGGTGATAAAAAAAAAATTGAAGGAGCCAAGTGGAAAATTCTCAACTGAGCAGCAGCAGCATCCTATTTGATGCAGTCTCTCTATGTTTATTCAAACAGTGGCAGGTGCCTGCTGTCTGAATACAATAGCCAGCAGGGGAGATTCCTCCATCCATGCCGATGTCAACCGATTTCTCTTGTTCAGCCGTGGGCTAAATTGGCAAATAAAGTTGTCAAACCGGTCACTAAAATATCATACAATAGACCCCCTAAAACATCTCACTGTCTTCTACAAGTCATCCAATGTGTGCAGAGTACACTGTTTTGGTGTCTAACCTTTCCTGGGGGCTTTAGGCATGCATATATTGAATCATTGCTGTTTTATCTTGATATCCCTGTTTGAACATACTTTTTGGATAAGATAATATGTATAGAAAGTAATTTTGCATACTTGATAAACACACTCAAATCAAATCCTAAAACTGTACCCCAACCAACCTGTCAGAAACCCCAAACTCCGCTACAGTGCAAAATTCCCTTTGGATTATTTGAGACGTCTTTTGCAGTATGTCCGGTAACAGAGGTTTCCGCATGTAAGTTGCTGTTGCTAAAGCTAAAAATTCTGTAGTAAAAGGTGGTACCAGCAGCAGCAAGTGTAGGTGAGCAGAGGAATAATTTCATAACACTAGATCTTCATATTGATACCATTAAAGATGCCCATAGACACTAGTGAGTTGACACAGCTGGAGGCACAATCCAAACAAAGGGTGAGGCAAGCATACCTCCCAGTGCTGGCATATCAAGTGAAAACAATAGTAATCAAAGAAGGTTATCGAACTCGTTTGATCTCTATTTTCCCTAAGAAGGCTCGGCAGGAAACCTTGTTTGATCTGGCTGAAAAGAGACCAAACTAAGTGACTGTCATATCATGCCCATGGGTATCTTAAAAGACTACTAGCACAAAAATATAATTTTTCTTGTAGGAATATACATCGATCAGCCATAACATTATGACCAACTACCTAATATTAATTAGGTCCCCCTTTTGTCCCCAAAACAGCCCTGACCCACCAAGGCATGGACTCAGGTACACTTTGGAAGGTATGCTACGGTATCTGGCACCAAGCCATCAGTAGCAGATCCTGTAAGTTGTGAGGTGGAGCCTCTATGGACTGGACTTGTTTTTCCAGCACATCCCACAGAAGCTTGATTGGATTGAGACCTGGAGAATTTGGGAGGCCAAGTCAAGACCTCAAACTCATTGTGGTGTTCCTCAACCACTCTTGAACCATTTTTTGCAGTGTGGCAGGGAGAACTATCCTACTGAAAGATTATCAGGGAATACCCTTTCCATGAAGGGGTGTACTAGGTCAGGAACAATGTTTCAGTAGGTGATACTTGTCAAAGTAACATCCACATGAATGGCAGGGACCAAGGTTTCCCAGCAGAACATTGCCCAAAGCATCACACTGCCTCCTCTGGTTTGTCTTCTTCCAATAGTGCATTCTGGTGCCATCTCTAAGCAACACACACACACACACCTGGCAATCAACATGATGTAAAAGAAAATGTGATTCATCAGACCAGCCCTCCTTCTTCCATTGCTCTGTGGTCCAGGTTTGATGCTCACATACCCAAGGTCAGCGCTTTTGGAGGTGGACAACTGCGGCTACTTAGCGTTCAGACACATTTCTACTGGAACCAGCAATACATTTTTTGGCAATCAGAGCTCTTCTATTGGATTGGACTACACGGGCCATCCTTCGATGTCCAATGCGCCTTGGCTGCCCATGACCCTGTTCACCGATTTTCTTTCCTTGGACCACTTTTGGTAGGTCCTGACCACTGCAGATAAGGATCATCCCACAAGAGATGTAGGTTCGAAGTTACTCTGACCTAGTTGTCTAACCATCACAAATTGGCCCTTGTCAAAGTCGCTCAAATCCTTACACTTGCTCATCTTTTCTGCTTCCAACACATCCACTTCAGGGACAAATGAAGCGATTGGCTTATATTTGTGTCTGCAGCTCTGGGAGTCTCAAGGTAACAGTGACATTTCTGGATTGTGCTACTTTATCTGGTTGGTGGAGTAACATCTAGACTGATTTTCAGATAAGGTCCCCCCCTGAGCCAACAAATTGCTAGGCAGTTTCAGGGACTGTTTTGCTAGCTTCCTTGATGAAGCATCTATGCAATTAGAGCTGCAGCTAACGATTATTTTCAAAATCGATTAGTTAGCCGATTATTAAGTTCGATTAATCGTTTAATTTTTCTTGCATCTATTCTTGCCTTGCACTAAAGGGCTATTATTACCAAAGGCCATGGTATACAATAATATTATTGAAATGTTTTGCTGTAAACTTAATATGTAAATAGAACAGATTCCTCCATTAACGCTTACAAACGATGATCAAGGAATCACTCGCTGCTTAGATTGTAATCGGACAGCCGCTATCAGAATATCTGAACAGCTGATCGAGGGATGCTGGTCGGAAATGTGCCAACTCTTCAAATTTTGGCCGGCACATCAAGAACTAGCTGAAATTCGAAGTGTGTATACCTGGCTTTATACTGCCTCTTCATCTCCCCCAAGCATGAACGAGTATTTACAGCTTGCAGTGCAGTAGGTCCCACTATAAAGATGTTTTTTTTTCTTCTCCATCCTGGTGTTGGGAAGGTAAAACTATCAATTAAGAAAGTCTTTAGTTTTCTTTCATGCAATAAACACAGCACCTTTGTTATATGGCAGTATTATAAGTGTCTTTTACCAGTATGAGCTCAGGCAGCAGATAGGAACTTTATAGAGGTTCCAGCCTGATGCTTCTCTTCTGTTAGAAGCAAATTATCAAAGTAATCGGAAAGGCCTTCAGCCTCCATCAGCATTGGTGGATTTTAAAATTCTGCCACCATGGGTTTTCTCTACTTTCTTGCTCACAAATTGCACAGGACAACATCATGTATATTCACCAAAATGTCAATGTGCAATCTGTCTTCAATGCTAAGAAGTGATACATTAGAGGTAGATGGAGCTATTGGGCATAAGTGTCAACATCTCAGAATCATTTCTGGAGAATTTTCAGCTCAGTTGGCAAAATTATCCCACA